AAATAACATATTATAAAGTGAGTTAAAACCGATGTATCTAATAATAAAGCAAAGATTAAAAATAAGTTTTTGCCGTTTGCGTGCATGAATGATTTGACCTTTTAGAGATCAGATCATAGAGAGTGGTGGCCCGGTGGGGGTGGTGCTGGTGGTTGGTGGCGGTGTCGGCTCCTGGGATTGAGTTAAAGCAAGCAGATACATGAACTAAGTCTGACTCGAAGAGACAGAAGAGGGCTAAAAATGGAGAAGAAAAAGGAGAGAGTGTATTTTGGGCATTTTGTAGCAGAAATTGTCAGAAAATTAACAGAGGGGAATGGGTGTCACGGTGTGGCTCATTGAGTGTCGGTCCAATTTCTGTACTAACTGCTACTCCATATGTAAAGGCTTCTTTACCTTTTTTAAAAAAATATATGCTGATCAACAAAGTCCCCTTGATTTCCGACACCTGTTATCATGTCAAATCTACAATATACTAATACTGAGTAGCTCAAATATCTAAATTTAGAATAGATCATATGATTAATTTAATCAATAGAACCTGTGACGTGTCAAGTAAGCATTGTTCAGACCAAGCCATTAGGCACACTACTCTGTACACATACAAGTTTGTTGGCTTCTAATTGGCCATCTTAAGCACCAAAGCAGTGGTCCAGACCAGGTCATGCCTTAATTTGTTTTCTCTTAATTCTAACCTAATTAATCTAACTTAGGGATTAATATTAAACCAATCCTAAAAAATACCAAGATGATCATCACATGCATCACATTTGCTCAGTCTTGCTCGGTTAAAAAAAAAGAAGAGCATATGACATTCTTACATATTAGTAGCTAGTATATGGCCCTAAACAAAGTGCAATGACTTGGGACCCCGAGTGTCTTTCCATATGCTCCCCTTCTTGGGATATCCGCAATCTCACTCTTCTTTCTCTACTGTATGCATCTTACAATCCTTTTTATCCTCTATATATACCCCCCCACACATGCGACACCTTTCTTCCATAACTCTCTTGATTTCTCAAACTCTCTCTTTCTGTCTGTCTCTTAACATGGCGGAGCTGGATTACAGGCAAGGTAATAAACCCAACGCCACAGCAGCCACTACAGGCTTGAAGATTTTTGGCTTTAATGTCTCTGAGGATGAGGATGTGTTAGATTCAGGCAAGGCGGCCTCTTCTGGGTCTCCTGAAGAGGCTGCAGGGTTCGGCGCCGCCCCTGGTGACAGAAAATATGAGTGCCAGTACTGCTGTCGTGAGTTTGCAAATTCTCAAGCGTTAGGGGGCCATCAGAACGCTCATAAAAAGGAAAGGCAACAGCTAAAGCGCGCTCAGTTACAAGCCTCGCGGAACGCCGTTTCATTCGCGAGGAACCCAATGATTTCTGCTTTCGCTTCGCCGGCGCACCTCCTGCCCCCAGGTCCTCCAGTCCTGATGCCGGCCGGAGCGGGGCCTTCGTGGGTGTACTTACCTCGCGGAGGACCACCGCCGTTCCACGTGTCCCACGGGTGTGTGATACCGAGTGTTGGTGGTGGGGGGAGGGGTGCAGCGGGGTTGCCGTATGGTGGGGGCGTAGGGGATTCAGGCTTCGGAGTTGGGCTGCCGGTGATGCAGGGTAGGGCCCACCACGGGCGAGGTGTTGATGGGCCATCATTGAGTAGGTTCTCCAAGGGGGACGGTGGACCCAGTTTTGACGAAGCATTGGGCTTAGATTTGCATCTTAGTCTTGCACCTGCAGGGCCCTGAGTTTGGGTTTTGGTTGCCTAATTTGACTCAACTCAAATAAGGGAATTGATGTATCTTTGTACATTTTCTAATTTATTTATTTATTTTTTTCAAGGAGGTGATTGATTTCACTTTGCAGAAACCTGCCTCTTAATTACTACATCTTAATTGTTAATACTCAAATTTGTATATTATATAGATCCAGTCGATGCTATGTGGTATGGGTATACAAATATTCGATTAACTGGTTTGCATGACTAATTACTTCAAAAATGATGGGAAAAACGAAAAAAACCACTAATGATATGAGGATGTGAATTTTCAGTTCAAACTCGTAAAAAATTAATGTTGGTATTTTAAACAACTATAGTCTTTGAACATATTTAACACTTCATTCAAAGACCCTACATATATATATATATTCAAAGGTTGTGATTGGTTATACTAACATTTGTTTTTGTTAGTTTCAACCTGAAAGAAACTTCTCTAATGATATTGGTACTTTCAATTCATTAATTATGGCGAACCAATTTTGGTACGCACCATTCAGAAGTGGTTGTGTACTCTATATGCAATCAGAAATAAGAAGCCAGAAGAGTATTCTCCATTGTCCTGCCTAACGCCATAGGTCTTACCGACATGCTGTAAAAGTTGCTCCATCTATATTTCAAAAATTACTCATACTGGCGTGGATAAAAAGTTAAAAGGGACGCGCGTGCATTTGTTTTGGAATTTTTTTTCCTAATGTAGATTGTTTGAAATTTAGACATGTAACTCAAATTGGTGTATATGTTCTCTATCTTTAAGTGATGAATCCGAATCTCTTCCAACCTGTGAATGATTTCAAAGAAGAAAAAAAAAAAAAAAAAGGAAGAAGAAAGTTTGCATTTGGTATAGAATTTCGTAATGGGTTTTGGGAGAATCCAAGGTGGATCGCAGCTTGTGGGCATAAAGGTATATTTTCAAAACTTTTAGGTAGAACAAGGAGGTAATACTAATTTGTGTACATTTTTGCACAATCTCATATTCATATATATATGTATGTTTTTGTCCAATCATGTTTGCACAAACAAGGACTTGTCTGCAAGTACAGAGAAAATCTTTAAACCCTAACTTGTCATTTCATACTTCTTAGATAAAGAAAACTATCACAACAACCGTTCTAAACTCGATTATACGTACTTAGTTACTCATTTTATAATTTTAATGGCATTAAATTATAAACTAAAAATTATTTAAATAAAAAAAATATCTCTAATAGTATGAGATTCTAATTAAAATTATATAGTTTAAAATAATTTAAATTAGACAATACTTTATTAATACATATTAAAGTGAAAACCATTGGATCCTGACTAAAATGTTTTCTTATACTGGTATTGCAGCCGGTTTTGATTATAAAGAAGATTGAAAATGAAGATTTTAGATTTTATTGTTTAAGGTTTGCCCGGCAGGAGGATATCTTGTTTATCTCTTTTTCTTTTTGGAGGGTAGATCCATGATTGAGGGATTTCTAGTCCCAAAAAACATTTCAACTAACCCATTGATAGTTTGTTGGTATTTCTTGTCACCTTCTCCATGTTGACTAGGGGATGATGGAATTGGGGACCCATCACATGCAAACCAAAATACCCCACACTTTGAAATTTTGAAACTAACCAAAATGATAATTATTTGAATGATGATGTCATGTAACCCTGGTTTTTGAGTCAAAAACCAATAGTCTCTCATTGCCCTACCCAACATCATAAGAGCGAGCTTAATTAATTATAACCTTGATTTCTTTTTTTTGGCTTTTATAACTTTTATTTCTTGATTAACCATATTTTTCATGAAAATGATGTAACTATAATATTAAATGGTATTATAAATTTATAATATAATATGTTATTATATGAATAAATTTTTTTTTATTTTAAGATTTATTTGTAATATTGTATACATATATCTAGTAGGTTGGTTGCTGTCCAACATTAATAGGAAAGAGAGAATTGTTGGGAAATTAAGCAATTAATGGCTTCTTAGGAATGCGCTTTTTCACAAATCAGCTACTAGTAGCTTGTGGCTAAAACAAATTTTACGTGTAAGAAGCACTGTCAAATTAAACACCTAATGCATCATTAAAAAAACCCTAAACTTTTAATTAAAAAGTAAGAACACTAGCTTAATTAATTAAAACGGTCAAAAATGATCATACCTCCCCTTTTTCGGTGCAAAGTTTAGTATCTTAACACCCGCTTTTAACGTCTCATAAGTCATAAGCTCAGTGCTATGATATCCCCAAATTGCCTCTTTTTTATTTTTTTTTAAGTTTAAATTAATTTTCTAGATAAAAGGAGCTGAATTGGGTGGGAAAACAATGGAAATAGATTCCATCCCACAATGCATACGATGATGGATGGTTTTGGTTCAAGTAAAGTACTTTGATTTTATGATGTTTATGATTTTTTTGGTGGGGGAGAAAGAAGATGCAAGGAAGGAAGCATCATCATATCATAGGTTTGAAAATACTTGTGCACTTTAAAAAGGTGTCTGTTTCTTGAAGCTTTTTGACGTATGATGAGTACTACAAAATTAGGGGGATAGTGGTTGGTGATAAGGCAGAAAGAAGTGAGAAAAGCAAACTCATTTCCGTAGCTTTTGCTTGGAACACAATAGCAACTGCGGATTGGGCCCCTATTAAACATCATGTAGACGCCCACTTTTATTCGCAATTGGGTTTTTGGTGGGAATCACCCACACCAATCAAGTTTCATCTCTACAGCTTATATATATATATAGGTAAATAGAAATTATATATATAGAATATAAATTTATTGAATAACTCACACACATAAATTTTAACAGGAGAAAGCCGATTATAGAAGTGTTCGTATCCATATGATATTATGCTAAGTGAAGGATTATGGGACATTTCTCAATTTGTTAATTGGTACCTTTTTTTGTTTCCTCTTTTGGTACACATATGATGTTGAGCTATATAAAGAAACTTATATTATTTGTTTTAGTGCTTTCTCAAATCTTCTATTATTTGTTTTAAAATTTAAATTGAAACTTTATATCTTAAACTTTTATTCATCAAAGCACTTCTTTAATTAGATTTGTTAGTGCCCCTCTTGTATAATTAGAAAGTTTCTAATTAGAAACTTTCTAATTATGCATTCTTTTTCTGCTTATTTATTGATAATACAAGTGCCATGACATTTCAAAGAAAATATAGATCTTGTCCTAGTCCCAGTGATGGCGTGTCTCTTCCGTCTCACTTAATTTGCAAAGTTTTCATTCATCAGCTTCCAAAGAAATTGCTTCATTAATTTCATTAAAGCTCATCCTTTGTTGCCCTGTAAAACCTCAGGAAATAGCAGGTACCGGGGTTTCTTGTAAAGTTGCAGAAAAATTCAAGGGCAGAAATCATTGGCAGGTGTAGCTTTTAAATTTGAAGGTAAAGAAGGAATTAATCATTGTCAAGAGTAGGTGACTTTGGAGTTAAAATCTAGGGCTGTTGGCCCACGCATAGTGGACCTCAACAACCCAGGCTCGGCCTTGCTTCTTTAGCTACTTTTTTTTACTAGCAAATGTAGAAAGAGGGTCCCCACAATCAAATCGTCCTTTTGCCAATGCTAGACTATTGCATTTGCACCCGTGTCTTACATGGTCACAGAGCTTTAACAATGAAGAGACAATTTACCCCAAATAATGTATACATAAAGAGGGAGACAAGAGACAAGAGATAAGAGACAAGAGACAAGACAATCTTCAATGCTTTGATGGTCCGGAAGAGGAGATGGTGTCAATAACTTCTGTCTTCACACAGTCACAAACTTTCCTGTCTTTTGCTCGAGGTATAAATAATCGCGTTGGCAAGTAGGTGGAAAAGTAAAGCATCAATTCCACTGGGATTTAACACCACTGAATTATATTGGATATATGCATTCATTTACAAGTACATGGTGGGCCTAATGCTAATGTACCACTGCAGCCATGTGAATTGTATAGTTTCCTGGACCTAGCTAATTCTAGACTTTATCATCAAGATTTTTGTTTCTTAGCCTGTTTGCTGCAGTTTTTGAGGCAACCTATACATATGTACTGAAGTTGCCAATCCAAGTTCCACTAGAGAGGAGCCTTGTTTGTACCTACACACTGATCAGGATTATAGAAACGGCTGGAGTTACCTAACCTCAGGCCTCAGCCTGTACCATTCTTGTATTCAAACAATGGCTATAGGGTTGATGGTGAATTAACCACCATCAAATCAGCACAGTAATGGTTTTCTAGACCATATTCTAAACAGATGCAGAATCAGGCAGCTTTAGAGGCCCCTCAATCTGCAGAAAATATGATGCACAATTTAATTTTCAAGAGGTAGCATATAACCCAAGAACAACATTCTAATAAGGATAGTCGCTGCATTTCCTTGTCTATAAAGTACTAAACAAGTAAGGAACCTTAGTTCCTCTCTTGCATTACTTGTGATAGGCAATATAATGTTTATTCAAAAAAGGGTTAGCTCGCTTGCTGTCTATATAGCCAATGGGCCATTAAGAAGCCCAGTGATTTTACAACATTAGTCCATGTTATGAAACCAAACCGTATATGTTGTTTCTAGATCCTCAAATAAATCATTTAACTGTAACAGTGACACCTTAAAAGGGCAATTCAGGGGATGATGTCAAACCAACTTTAGGTAAAACCTTCTGTTCTTCCTTGCTCAGCCTAGGTGCCTGCTCTTGTTCATCAGGTTGTTGTGCTTCCTGTTTATATTGAGTTGGGAGGCATGGCCTCCAAATCGTTTCTGTACCTATATCCATGAGTGCAATGCCCTTGGCTTCCAACTCAGTTCTGATCTGATCAGTCTTGGTGAAATCTTTGTTTTTCCTAGCTTCTGCTCTTTCCTTTATCACATTCAACAAATGGACTTCCACCAATTCTGCTCGCTTTAATGCCTTATCTTTTAACTGCTGCAAAACCTGCCCAGGGAAAAATCCAATTGTACTTTTAGATTTTGATAAACACAGCATGCATCCATACAATTATACAGCCAAATATAACCTCATTACCTCAGCATAAGTGCATGGAGGAAGCAACCCTAGAATTTTCAGAACTTCCTTAACTTCTCTCTCAACTTCAAAAAGGGACTGAACTAATGATAACTGTTGTTGCTTTGCAGTCTGAAGAATTATAACAAAATTATATTATCCTGTCTAAATCTGCAAACCAAGAGAGAGACAAAGAGAACATTGAGACATTAAGTATACCTTTAGTTTCTTCAACGTGTTATTTGCAAACTTCAAGGCCTCTCGAAAAGCACCAGTCAGTATGTGTGAAGTGTTCAAGTCATCTGACATTTTTGTATGAAATTCATTGTGAAGTTCTCTAATGCAGCCTTGGGCTTCAGCGGTGATCCGAGCAGGTTTGACATTTTGCTTTGTTCCATCCTTTATGCTTCCTTGAAATGATGATAGAACATCTTCACAATCACTCAGGGTCTGAACAAACACAGAGTGGGTGTGGATACTTTCGTAAGATATCGCATCTAAACAGGATATGGGTAAATGCTACCGTGCCAAAAACTAAAAACAGTATTATTACTTTTTAGCCCAAAAGGGACAAAAAGAAAAAAATGAAAATACAATATTTTTGGATTGGACTCACAACATCAATAAACAATTTGAAGCAGTAACATGACTTATCAAAAAGTTTTCCTAATTGACTGGTAAGCAATAAAATTCATTGCTAGCATCAACTCAAATAAAATCTTCAAGTTATCCAGGCCAAAATTCAATGCACCGAAAACTCCAAGGTACAAGTGGTGGCCCATTCATGTATCTATGTCAATGTACAAGTATACTAGATGTACATATACAAAAATACAAATGTACATGTACATATGTAAATTAGTACATGTACATATCACATAGGTATGTGAACATATTAAATTATCATAATCTAACCCCAGCAGACAAAATGGCCCAGTTTTAAAGATCAACATCATGCATATGCACCTGGCTGCATCTAAAAGTTTTTAGAAGTTAGATACAATTCAAACCTGATAAATGTAAAAAAGTTCTGATGATGCATGCTCCAACCGCAGGACTGAATAGTTGAGAGGAGAACGGTAGTGTGCATTTATCAAGAAGTATCTCAGAGGAAGTGGATGATATCGTTCCGTGATCTAGAACATGTCAATTACCATATACAAATATAAAATATATAGAAAACAAAATTTTTTAAAGGACGTAAAATTAAAAATAATTAACCTCACTGTTACCTGGCGAATTGTGAAGAAGTTACCCAAAGACTTTGACATCTTCTCATTGTTATTAGTAACATGCCCATTGTGCATCCAGTAACTCACGTTACTCTCTTGGCACGCAGCACAACTCTGAGCAATCTCATTCTCATGGTGTGGGAAAATCAAATCAATCCCACCACCATGAATGTCAAATTTGAAACTCAAATAATGAGCACTCATTGCACTGCATTCTATATGCCACCCAGGTCTGCCAGGACCCCATGGGCTGTCCCAACTTGGCTCACCTGGCTTTGCAGCCTGCATCAATCATCAGATACCAGATAATGAGAGATGTTCATGAGCATGAAACACTAAAATACAATGCAATGTGCTTATCTGTCTGCTATGCTCATCAAATAAGTTTGCAATCAGAATATCTTTTCTTTTCTAGAAACTAAAATTCAAATTATTTCAAACCTTAATCTTATACTAAATTTTGGGGAATCAAGCTCCTTCTTGAGCAAAACTAGAGCACTTCATCTCATACCTCAGAGCACAAACAGGCTTCCACTAATGATTGATAAACCTAATAGAGAGGTCCAAGAGTTCAAATACTCCATTCCCCCTAGGCCCTTGCCCTCCCAATTTACCAAGCAAAAAAAAAAAGCATTCTAAAAGCCATAACTGACAAGCTATTCCAGAATGAGAGCTAATAAGCAGATTTTCACAGCAAGTCTTATGCCAATGAAACAAGTGGGTTCAGACCTTCCATAATGCAAAGTCAGCAGGATTACGCTTTCTCGAGTCAATGGCAACACGTTCACCAGCTCTATGGTTTTCCACTTTCTGCCCAGATAACTTGCCATAGTTTGGGAACATCTCCACAGCAAAGAACACATCACCATCAACGACGTATGCACAGTCCTTATTAATAATCTGCAAGAGTACAAATACAATGGAATTAGAGGGTACAATATACATCAATATGATTGGAACAACACTACACATTTTCTATCTGTATAAAAATCCTAATCATAATAGCACCACACAAGAAGGGAATTGTAACAGAAGTTTATATTATTACTATAACATTTGGCAGAAGGAAAAAGAACACCATCAAAAGAATATTGAAAATAATGAAATGGAATTAGATAACAGCAAACACTTGTTTGAAGTCAAAATTTTTAAAGGGTAAAGCACCAGCTTCCCATACATGATGTGATGAACTCCATATTCACCAGCCAATAAATTCAGAACTAATCAACTATGCAAGTTCACCTCAACACAGATTGGCAATGTCACAAAATATAAATGTATGAGGAGTGTACACAAGTTAAAGGTTACAGTAACCACACATCTGTTACTCAATAAAGGTATTTCTAAACTTCCCATAATTTCAGATCATAAATGCACAGGGAGAATCTCAGTAAAGTAACACCACAAATGTATTAGCAGTGAATAACCAAGAATGTAAAAGGAAATATATTGACAAACAATGCTAGTAAATATTGCTTCCAAGTAATCCATGTTGCCTAGTAAATGCAGCAATAATGGATGAGGCAAGAGGACTGAAGAAGGGTCACAGTATTCATATTTCTGAATGTTAAGGAAAGAAACCTGAGTAATCATATCCTTGATCTGCTCCATGTGATCAGAAACACGTGGCTGATGGGTAGGAACAAGGCACTGAAGATCATTCATATCCACAATATACTCTTGGCAAAACCGGTTGCTCAAAGTCAATGGATTTTCTCCACTCTCATTAGCGCGTCGAATTATCTGCAAAACTTCAGCCATTAGCAATCTCTACATGAAAATCAGGAATGTGAATAGAGGAAAGAGAGAGATGGTCAACCAATGAATAAAAGCAGAAATCATCAACTTTAACATTGCTTATCAATGAATGGTATATCAAGGTGAAAAGCTTACACATGCACTTGGCACACATTGGGTAGTCAAATTTAGATCAATTTTAACGAATCAATTGGCACATATTTGCGTATCAGTTAAATTAAATCAGTAAACTACAATCAGGAACCAGAATCCTCACCTTGTCATCAACATCAGTGAAATTCCTGACATAGGTAACCTCGTATCCCAAGTGTTGCAGGTATCTGTACAAATTGAGCTCAAGAAAAGCAAAATTTTATAAGAGACACCATAAATAGATAAAATCCGCTATCAATCCAACCTGAAAAAATAATCAGAGCTTGTAACTTTTCCAGGAACAGATTATGAGTTCGAGCATGGTGCACTGACCTGTAGAGGACGTCAAAATTGACGGCGGCGCGAGCGTGGCCGAGGTGGCTGAAATCGTAAGCAGTTACGCCGCAGACGTACATCCCGACCTTCCCGGGGACCTTGGGTGTAAAGACCTCCTTCTGTTGGGTCATTGAATTGCAGATTTGGAGCTGGAACTCTTCCTTTTCCTTTTCCTTCTTCGCCATTGTTGCCTGGCTTTTCTTCTGCTTTGGTTCTTTCCCGTCGGCCATGTTTCGATTTGCCAATGCCAGAGAAACGCCTAAACCTAGTCTGTTTTTTTTTATTTTTTTATTTTTTTATTTTTTGGGGTAAAGGGGTTTCATTGTTCCTGTGTTAAGCGCTGGGCGGATCAAGTGGGTTCGACACGTGAATAGATCTGCGCCGTTAAAATTGGTTGATGAGGAAGGAAAAGGGGCCAAAAAAAAAATGCGCCCAACAACTAAAGAGGGCCATAGATGGTTCAATACGCAAATGCTAATGGGCTGGGCAGACGGGCTTTCATGAGAGTCAGCTAATCAATTATAGAACCTGGAATATGGACTTGGGATTCAGAGTCCACCCGGTTATATTCTTTTCCTCTAATTCAAAGTATAATTTTTTTAGAACAATTAGAGCTATAATTACGTTTTCATTTTACAGTTTATACTATATAAAATTTATAAGATGAAAAATTTTGAATGGTTGGGTACTCAGCTTTTTCATCTAAGAATTTTTGTTGTGCAGTTGTGCACTATTTTCTTAAAGA